TACTTAGCATGAGAAAGGGACTGTTAAAAATTCTAGGACACATAATGAGGAAAGAGGGCTTAGATAATTTGACACTCATACAGCATATGTAAATGAATGGCAGAATAGGATTAGGAAAGATAACGAAAAGGTAAAATTTACTAAGAGGATAAAGAACAGGATATTGTGGATAGCCATGATCGCCAATGTCCTGGAGGGACACGCGACATAGAAGAAATGCAAATAAGGAGAACGAATAAATGTATGACGTCATCACATATCCTGGGTGATATTTCTCCTCCAATTTCTTATAATATAATTTCCCCTTCTTGATATTTAGTAAAGTTAGTATAACAGAAAAAGCAGATGGAAGCAACCATTTACTCCCATTCAATAAAGAGAATCTGCGACACCAACGTTCCAAGTTGCCAAATAATTGCTTCACCTGGTTTGGGTTCAAAACGCTTTCAACCACGGGACAGGGCACCTAATGCTCCATTTTCTTTCATATTTTATCTCCAACCCTCTCCACCCCCTTCCACTCTCTACCTACCTACCTACCTACCTACCTACCTATCTATCTATCTATCTATCTATCTATCTATCACATTTTTAGGAACGAACACATTTTTCCCTGTTTCTCGCAAGATCGCATAAAATCCTTACAGTTTCTTTCTTCCCCACTCTCTCCTTGACTTTCTCATTCACCCTCTCCTTTCTTTTTCAGATACATACTTATCTCCTTTACGGAGGCTCGCCTTTATTTTCTTCTCTTTCTTTATTTCTTTATTTCTCCTTCTCCAACAATCTCTTACTTTCTCTTTTATATCATACGGATTTCTTTCCGTTTTCTTTGTTTACCTCCCTCTCGCTCACGCACGCTATATATATGTGTGTGTGTGTGTGTGTGTGTGTGTGTGTGTGTGTGTGTGTGTGTGTGTGTGTGTGTGTGTGTGTGTGCAGATATGTAGAAAATAGGAAAGAACACGTTAGGTAAATAATCCTGAGTTCTTTAGTATTTTTGTTTTTATTTTTAAAAAAATAGTGCTCCATACAGAAGTAGAGCTTAAATTATAATTATTAAAAAAAAAAATGATTCCTTCGCTACATAAGAGTTCTCATGTTTCAAAAACGAGAGCCAAAACCCTCAATATAATTATTAAAATTAAATTGAATTAAAGTATCAAGCCCTGTTTCATCCTCAAGCGAAAATTTAGGAATAACCAATCTTGAAATTTACGCATCTTTATAAGCAAGTTCATTCCCAAAATTAATTACTATTAATTACTTTTGATAAGGGGCCTAAGAGTTAATTTTTATCCACAGGCAGGGTCGGGGTGTCCATTTCAAAGCAAATGATGGCATTCATTTACGCACATCGTCTGGTCAGTCACAGCGAAAGATAATATGTCGTTAAGTGTCTAGAGAATTATGTTTTATTTTATTTATTTATTTCCTAAAGGGCTTATAAACGCGTCACACTGAACTACAATTTGTTTTGTATTTTGACGACTTCGTAATTGGGTTAAGCTTTTAAACCTTTTATTAGACTATGAAATTTAATTTTTTTTTATGCTAATTATTTAATGTGAAAATTTGTTGATATCGTCAAAAAACCGTTAACTCATGTCTATGGTTTAATAAATTTTCATTATTTAGAAACTTAATAATATGTAGTTTTTCATGTAGGCATAAAGGGCATGGGTCATTCCAGGTTTTACAAGTTCTTGTTCTATTTATTATTTTCCATTTAACTTTTGGTGTTTTATTCATTTCTTTTAAATGCCAAAAATATTTGGATAGAGATGTCTGATTTCTATTTCTAATATTATTGAAGGAGCTTTTGTGTTGTCTCCATCTAATTTTAAATTCATTCTTCGTTGAACCAATGTACATCCTATCAGTGTTAGGACTCTAAATGGATGAGATAGTGCATTGGTATACCACAGATTTTGTGCGGTATTTATTTTCCAACGGGCAGTCTTCAGAGTTTCTACAATTACATAATTTTTCATTATTTTGTCTAATTTTAGTTTAGGATTTTTATTAATACTGTTTTGGCCTGGGTGTTTTTCCAGGATTTTATTATTATGTTGTTTTATGATTCTTTCTAGATTTTCAGTGCAACTGCAACTTACTTTTAAGGTGTTTTTATTAAAGATCTTGCTAAGTCTGCTATTAGTAGGAAATTAAAGCTAGGGAATTATGCCCTAGCTTAATACTAACCATTTGGTTGAACGGAGGGGTATACCAAATGATTTTCCTTTTCCTGTTTTTCTTTTGGTTAGTACTATTGTTTCTATAATTTATGTTAGCGTTTTTTATCCGGTATTTTTTAAGGCTGTGTTATAAAAATTACTGTGTTGTTGGAATATTTCCTTATTAGCGGAGTTCATGCTGATTCTTTTCTCTATTGATGTGGGTATATGCTTAATTATAGATGGAGCGTGGTTTGACTTAGGGTGTACATACAAGGGATTAGTGTTAGATTTTTTGTAAGGTAGGCATGTGTTGTTCATTAAGTCTAGAGTTACGTCGAGGAAGTTAACCCTTTTTAATTTAGCATTGACTGTAGTTTTTAAGTTTACTTTTCTGAATTCACTATATATTATCTTTCTAATTTTATCTATTTTAAAATTTGTGGAGCCCGTCATCCCTGTATAGCCCGATGTCCTTAATGTCTAATTCACGGTTCGCGGTTAGATTGTATAGTATACTGCAGAGTCTAAAAGATACCATGGTGATATATATATATATATATATATATATATATATATATATATATATGTGTATATATATATATATGTGTGTGTGTGTGTGTGTGTGTGTGTGTGTGAACAAAAAGAGACAAGAGAAATTTTAAATGAATATCTAATCACAATCTGAACAATATGCATTTAAACAAAACAAAAAAAAAACCCTGAATATTACTTGCTCACTTTACTTTTTGCCAGATTTAGAATTATGACACTGCGTTCTCCAAATGTTTTGACTGATCTTTCAACCGCTTGATGAACATTCATGAACGTTCTCAAATTTAAAAGCCTTGATAAAACAATGACATCCTTGCTTTTGTATATCAACACGTGCAACAAAATATATCCTACATTGCTTTGATAATATCCCTCAGAAGGTGAAACGCGTCGGCTATGTATAGTTTTTCCTCTTGGCCCTTATCTCCTTATACAAATACACCCTAGGAATATTTACACACACACACACACACACACACACACACATAAATACTTTAGATTTAAGATAGTAATACTATATATATATATATATATATATATATATATATATATATATATATATATATAAGTGTGTGTGTGTGGCGCGTTAGTCGGAGGAATGGCTTTTTCATTGCAAATTATTAATTATATCATATCCAAGTATTTTACAATACACAATATTTCAATCTCAATTTAGGTTTACAGTTCGTAATCATGCAATGAGAAAAGGTAACATAAACCGTAGATTTGTCTGTAGAATATTATTACATTATTGTTACATAATTAGAGTGAAATTATTAACGTTTTTTTGTCAAAATCATTTTATTTTTGGTCGTGTATTAATTTAAAATATTCCTTTTTACAGGCTTCATTTTTGAAATGGAATAAGATCATTCTAAATTTCAGAACTTTGCTATTGCCCATCAAAATGACTGGAAGAAAGCGATCTAAAAACAACAATAGAAAAGAGAGGTAACAAAGCGTAAACGAAATAGCTTCAGCTTGTCCAACTTAGGAAACTTAGCATTGCAGCCAAAGTATTCTAAAATGTTGCCAATAACAAAGGAGAAAATGAAAAATAGAGAACAACAAATCGAATATAGCATCAAAATTTATATTATTCTTGTTTATTTGTTATATAACTAAATACATAATTATCAACGTTTCCATAAAACTTGATATTTCCAGCAATAAATGCTTAATAACAATTATTATTTTACTTAAATGTAAGGTAATCCTACATTTACAATTCCTTAACCATAAAAAAGAAATGTTGATCAAAACTGCCTAAAACCTTTAAGCGCGTATTACCGCAAAATTATCAAAAGTTAATAACGCATCATATATATATATATATATATATATATATATATATATATATATATATATATTTATAGGATATTACGTTTAAACATATAGATAAACGCTACACAAATGCATCATGTTTCGATGTATATCAATACATCTAATCAGGCGTTAATAAATGACTGATTAGTACAATTTATTATGATTTCAACCACATACAACGTCTTTTCACGCGGAAAAACAAAGAAAAGAAAAAGAGCAAGAAAGAGAGACTCAAGGTACAATCTCTTTTCGGAGAAAATGAAGAATAAAAAAAGGAGTATGAACGCATAGAGAGTAGGTAACAGCGGAAATTGTTATGTTTAAAATCAGTTAAACCAATCAAAATGGCCTATGCTAAGTAAGAGGTCATGAAACACAGATTTAAAATTGTAGAAAACTTTTAATTTATTTTTTAAACAAATCTTAAGCTGACATTTCCTATGAGAAAGAAAACGTAACTCGAGACAAATCACATACCTTTCGAGTTAAAAGGTTATTTAAGAAATAAATAAAAGAAAACAAAATAATCAAACCAAAAAAATTCCTAAGGATCAAACAAAATATTTAAAATAAATGGATTAAGCAAAAACTTTTAGCATATAGATCAAATAAATAAAATAATTAAAATATATAGATCGTGCCCATTTGAATGCAACTGTTAACTTAAGGGTGCTAATCAAACAAATCAATGGAAAATGTCAGCCAAAAGCATATACCTAGAGTTTAGACTAAATATTACCAACAATGTCAGATGAATAATGTAAAAACTATACTACATCGAAACAGAACAAACTGACAGCATTTTGCCAATGAAAGGGTTGTTGCATTCACGAAAAAAAGAAAATAAAAGTAAGTCAAGTCAGACGGAATTTTTCTGCTTTACTATGTAGAAACATCTCGACGGGTGAACAAAGTTAGCAACAAGTCTATTAGAATTCCACAATGTCCTGGCGCGTGGTCGGAAGCGAACAACAACAGCCGCCGACCTGTTGCTCACGGCAGCAAATCATCTCTTTGGCGTATTTGATCAATATCTGCCGTCAGCCGGAAATTCTTGATTAAAAATAATGTAATCGGTAAGATCGCTTAACACCTGTCCCAAGTGGATATACCTGTTGGGTAAACAGCCAAAAGTAATTATATATATATATATATATATATATATATATATATATATATATATATATATATATAAAGAGAGAGAGAGAGAGAGAGAGAGAGAGAACAGAAACAGGAAATACAAAATAGGAAGTGGAGATAAACAGCCGACAACATTGTTATCTGAATCTGTTTTTATTGAATAAATAATAGACGAAATATTGATTTTCCCGCTTTTTCCTGTTCTTTATCTAGCGTTACATGTGTCTCGGCGCTTATGAGTGTTTAATCAGTTGTTCAGTGATTTGAATCGCTATTTTCTTTTTCTTTTTTTATCTGTTTCATGCTATTTATTTTTTAATATCTCTGTCTGTTTCATTCTTCGTATCGTTCGCGTGATCCGGAAATATAGGCTGCAATTGAAGGCATTTTTTCGAGGCATACCCCAGCGATATAGTCAGTAAATGTTTATAAGTGAATATTGCCGACAAGCTGTGAATAGTTACAGCTGTGTTTATGATCAAGGGAAAGAACTCGTGACATTTAAAAGCTTCTCCTTTGAGAGACGTTGCCTTTTGTACGTAATTCCTAAACAGCATCAATGTAATTATACATTTTCATTATTGATGTTGTCGAAAATAGAATAAAAACTAAGGCTAAGAGGTAAAAGTCGACATTCAGTTGTTGAAACTTTGTGGAGTTAGAAAAACAGAATTAATGAATTAAGGAAAAAATGAAAAGGCAAAACACAATGGAGACAAAAGAGAACAAATAGACAAAAAGAACGAAACGTAACTAACCAAGACTGCTTTTTATAGGATTCGAACCCTGCTCAATATAACAAGATTTTTGCTTATACAAACAAAACCCTAATTTGAAAAGTGAAGCAGTTGTTTAGCGTTAGATCGTGTTACTTTAATGCATGCGCAAAATTTAAAATCCAACCCACAGCCTGCTAATATATATGGCCCCATGTCTCATTTCAGGCTAATTTCTAACAGGCCTATTTAGTTTATAGTCAATTTATAGCTGTTTTATCTAAAATATGTTAAAACCGTCCAAAAATACACAAACAGATTATTTCTTTTTTCTCTTTTTAAACAGAAAAGAAATAATAAAAGATTGTAAACAAACAAAAATGTTATTACAGAATTAAGCAGTAATACAGAACAAATACAAGTAAAAAAAAATACCAACAATTTCTGTATAAATCAATTTTCGTTTGATCTTTGCCTTTTTTTAAAAAATTCTATAATATTTTTCAAACTTCATCTGATGAAAACTTTCGTTTGTTGTTGTAAAATATATTCACAACATTTTTTGTTGCAATGTGAATTCCTTTTTCAGTGTGTTGTTCACAAGTAAAATCATATTTTGGAAAACAAGTTATCAAAATTCTTTCAGTAGACTCTTTTGTAGCGGATTAATACTGTTTTACAATAAATTTATCTACATAGTTAAGTATAGCAAAACAAGCACAGGCGAACTCTGTCATTTGGTTAGATGGAATCGTAAGACCTTCTCAAGAAAGTAAGTTAAAGTACTGCTTCTCTGTAGCATCATCACTATCATTGCCTACCATGACCAGGGAACACATTTCACATTGAAAACGTTGAATTATTTTTTTTCTAATTTTCTCTAATAAAGAAATAGATAGTAATAGTAATTTCTCCAGAAGTAATTTGCAGGCTTGTTGAGGCGTATAGCGCAGTAGTAAGACATAATGTATTTGTTCTGCAGGAAATGAAGGACAGCCTCTTGGTTGATAATGTTTTTGGGTTTGTTTTTTTTTTTTTTGTAATTCTTTTAGAATTGAGTATGATTGTTCTTCCACCACGTTTTGTATATAGTTTGGAAAATTTTCTAAAATACTAAATTTTGTAAGTTTAGCATTATTGCCCATGTAGAAACCACTATAATAACGGTACATGGGTTCCATTGCACTGGAACTGGACGTGGAGCTTTTGGCCAATGCGAAAACATTCTTTTATAGATTGAAAATATTTTTCAGGCCCAAAGACTATTCTATAAATTAAAATATAATCTTACATTTTTGTAAGTTCAAAATCGTTAGGACAATACTTTGTTTCTTCCAATTAAGTAAAATCCATTATCGTATAACTGAAATAAAATCATTTAATTCCTCAATTTGGACTGGTCGTTGTTTTAGAGGCTTTTTGAATTCCCTTGTATTCGGCAAAAGAGACAGTTTTTTTTTATTTCTTTCTGAATATATTGTAGGTATTGGATGTAAATACCAATTCAGTTTGTTTCATTTTCCTTTCAAAATAAATTTGTCTTCAAAATGTTTCATAAAGAGAACTGAATTTTTCGTCGATAACCAATCAATACAATTAACGAATTTTATCCATTTTTCTACGAGGTCGGATTTTCCAAAAGAAAAAGAAAATGTCGATACTTTTTCACTGTTAGTAACATCCGCTAGAACAGCCAAATGCAACACATTTGTTAACCATTTTTGCTAAACAAAATAACACAACAATCTTTATAATTTAATATTTAAATGCAATGGACTATGAGGTAGAAAATGTACCTAATAGAGTTCATTTGCAAAACGGGCTGTATACGCAATTGAAAATCATAAAAACGAGGTAACTCACAGCCGTTTATAATTTGTGTATTAGTAAAAAAAAAAAATATGTATTTTAGTGTTGAAAAAAAGTCTAGGGAATTGAAATAGCGTCTGCTAAATTCTACGTAATTGTACGTTGTTAATTTACGTTTTAAGAATTCAATTTTTTAAAGTTACCTCCCTTTTAGATTAGCAATTTTCTAAGCGGCCATTCACATTGTTTTTGTTTACATTACATCGGACTGTCAGTTTGTTATGTGACATGTGGGGCCATATAATACTAGTTGGCTCATGGAGCAGTCTTCATTTATCTGGATTATTTTCCCCATCTTCATAGTTTTTTATTATATTGATTCAGCCTCACTACCCTCCGCAATAGTTAATATTCAAGGGCATTTGAACTGAACCCTCAATTGTCTTTATTTCATTGTTCTCCCCAGAGAATTACAGGATTAGTAAGCATTTTCACATTGTCGCTCTATCTCTTCTATAAGTATATTTTCAAACTACACGACCCAGAAAAATCATCTCTAGCCAGATTAAGTGACGAGCATTTGTCTCCTAAGCCACTTCCCATACAACCACAAATGTTCTTTGCTAACATAAACTCATATTTTAATATGATGCTTTTGGACTAGAATTCATATCTGGGGTCCGAAAAAATAATTTTGTCTGCGTTTTAAAGACAAATGATTTTTCGGACCCAAGAAAGAAGCACCGAAAATTAATATCAACGTCACGGCTAATAAAAGAAAGTATATGCATGTATAGCTGGCCATACGTATTCGAGGATACCTGTCTACTATGGCGGTTAGTCAATCCCTATTGAAGACGCTTGCTCAGGCGCATTTGTGTTTATTCAGCACCCACATAGCTCATTTCTGGTTTATACTGAAACTATGCTGAGCAGACTTTACTTACAGTTTCTGGGAAAGAGAGTGTTATCTAGCGTGATCAACAATTTGAACAAGGCTCCGTCCTTCTTCAGGTGGTTGGAATGTCGAACTGAACCCTTTATTTCACTCATTGGTGTAGACTGTTCTAGTTCCACGTGCCATGTTTAATGGATGTCAGTTATCAGTTATCTCCTTGTTAATTTACCTCTGAAAGAAGATAACTGATAACTGACATCCATTAAACATGGCACGTGGAACTAGAACAGTCTACCCCAGTGAGCGAAATAAAGGGTTCAGTTCGACATTCCAACCACCTGAAGGAGACCGGAACGTATAACGGCCGAAACGTTGTAATAAACATCGCGACAAAGATGAGGACAATAGTCCAAATAATGTACATAATACCTCATCTCAGAATTATGGACAGGATTTGAACAAGGTCAGCACGCTGAAGCCCTTGGCCACGATGACTTGTGACTTTGTGCTAGCACAGCTATCGACGGCCCCCAAGTGTTCTGTCTACCCATTTTCACTCACAAGGCTTGGGTCAACCCGTAGTATGGTATTCAGGCACTTTCCAAAGGTGCTGCACGTTGGGATCGACCCCTCTAGTTTGATAACATCAGGAAGTCTCCTTACTGATAACTCGACCATGTATTTTAGTGAGATTCGAACGTTCCAACCACTCGACCACGTGCCCATTAAAAGAAAGTAATATGCCATAAATTAGTTAATCGGCAAAAAAAAAGAAAATAAAAAAAAAGGATTAAGTTTTAAACAGAAGTGAATTCCAAATGATTAAATACGTAATTCCTCACAATATAAAGTCAACGACCATGAGCCTTCAGCTTCCTACCGAAAATTCAGCCTGTTTATACTATTTTCCTATCATCATTTTTGTTCTTTCTTTCTTTCTTTCTTTCTCTCTCTCACCCACATATACAGATAGACACACTTTTTGTAGTCGCCTTTTTTTTCTTTTCACCTCGGCTATTATTTCTAACAGTTTGTCTTTTAAATGAATGAGATGTCGACTGTTCGGCGAGATGCTAGAGATTGTCTATTTCGTTCTCTTTGGTCTCCTTCCATTTTCGAAATCACTGATCACTGCTTTGGTCGAACATTTCTCCTTTCTCTTTTTCATGACTTTTATCTCAAACATTTTGTGCTTCTCTTTCATTTTTTTAAGACCTTTGCCTGGGCTTGAAAACCAATCTCTAGCACATCATTACTAAAGTATTCTTAATCTGGCACAGGACCATGTGTAGCGAGTATCAAACATTACAGTAGCAGCAAAAGTTACTAGACTACTAACTATTACTATACGACGAAGGTCATAACATTTAGTGGCTGGAATTAGTTTTGACACAAGGACTCCATTATAGAGTCATCATTGAAGATTGAAGCAAAAATAATAAAATAGACTCGCTTGATAAAGATACAGTTGTAAGAGGGAGACTGAACTCACTACAGTGGTGAAAGTTTTCGAGACTAACTTGCTATACGTTGTTCCGAGGTAAGGATTCTAAGCTGATTAATTTTTGTTTTCTCTTCTTTTGCTTCTCAATTCCTTCTCCTCCACTTCAAATACTCACTGGCAATATTAAACCAAGTGTGAATAATGGAGTGCGGCACAAGGCCAGAGGATTGTTTGAGCAAATCGGCTGTGAGACTAAATTGTTACTCCAAAGCAAGTCACTCAATCATTTTCTGTCATTATTCCATTATAATATTCCCTTCTTCTTTGTCAGCCTCTTTGCGTATTATCTTTCTTTTTATAATAAATATCAAGTTTTTTTTATTCATTCCTGCTTCACTTTCAATCTTTACTTTCTTCAAATTATAATTATTCCTTCTTCTTCTTCTACTTCTTCTTCTTCTTCTTCTTCTTCTTCTTCTTCTTGCTCCCTTTAAGATGGTTTCGTTTGTTTACATCTTCTTTCTAACCATACAACTATACTCACAGTTTACACAATTTTATTCTTTTAATGTTCTTCCTCGCCCTCACTTTCTTTTTTTAACTTATTGTTACTTTTCTCTCTCTTATTGCTACTTTTCTCTCTCTTTTATCATTGCTTACTTAAGTTTTCTTTCCTTTGTTATATCGTTCACCATTTCTTCTTCTTCTTCTTCTTCGTTGCTGTCGTTTGGTTGCTACTGATGCTGCTGTTGCTGTTTGGAACTTCCCGCTTTGATCTAAACTATTTCCTTAAAAATGACTCCCCTCACACCAACAAAACACATCGAATCTCACTATCGTCTACCACCTTTAATAAAATAAACTTTTGTGCAAGGATGAAACTTTAATTGAATATTACGAAAAAAAATTTTTTAAGTGATTTAAACTAGAAAATAATCAATTAAAAAGCGTACATGAATTTGACATGCAAAAGACTACATAAAAACAGCTTTATGCTAAATAAATGTGCTTTTTCTGGTCACGTGTGTCATGAAAAAGCGTGCAAAACAATAAAGATGAAACTATGCCGCAAGGAAAGAAAAAAATGGCGCCTGTTCACGTGACCTGTCCAATGCATCTCATCTCTACCACTCATCCAATCTACTGAGCATCACTTTGTTTCTTTCCGTTACGATATTTTTCGTCTGATTTTTGTTTTATTTTTATTTTTGTTTATTTCTATTTATTTTTCTTTCATCTTTTTTTAATCTTTTTGGGGAGGGAGCATGGTTTGCATTACGTATTTTTATTATTTGCAGGGAACACCACATACCGTGTGTTTCCCATTAGTTATTGCTTTATTAAGTTAAAAGACGAGGAGGCTTCGACCGAAAAAGAAACAGGCAGGTAGAAAAAGAGGAGAATAAAAGCAGAAGTTATAACAACAATAAATAAATAAATAAAAAAGAAAGAAACGTTTAATGGAGAACGCTGGGTAATCGACTTGAGTTCAATCTCGCTTAACATCGATGTCTGCCATTTTTCATGGTTCTTCTTCATCTGTTCTTTTCAATTCGCTTCTTTTGTATATTGACTTATGTCTTTATTTTGCTCCTCGAGAACCGGCAAATTAAATTTGATTGCCTCCAAGTTGCTATTTCGAAAGACTGACAAGAAGAAAAAGGAAAAAAAAATAGCCTGATGAGTTTGTTTTTCAGTGAATCTCTTCTTTTCTAGATTATTATGTTTTATGTCAATGGCGCAAATTTCCATCCCCACTTCAAAAACACTCACTATCTAGCATTCCAACGTTTTGCGAGTCACTCAAACAAAAGAAAATTCTATTAGCAAATACAGGAAAAAGTGTATATAATACAGTGGGGAGAAATAAATATTTGTACACTTGCAAAATATTTATTATAGAAAATTCTGAAACTTATATTTACTTGGAATTGATATGAGAGATATAAAATTAACAATTACTAAGAAAAATACATATTTTCAAACCTACTATATAGAATAAAATATGAACTATAGTAATGGCGGTTAAAAGCATTCAGACACATTGATTTCATATTTTCTTCTCATGGTTTGCATTTACAGTTCAGAAGTGTTTTCGTAACTACTCCCAAGCACTTGGCAATATGTACTTTTTTCGTCACAAACAATCTTCAAATCAGTAATGTTTCTATTATTCTTTGATGAATTCGATCTTACAAGCTTCGCCATAAATTTTCAATTGGATTCAAGTCAGGGGATTAACAAGGCCACAGAAATACCTCTACATTGTTCTGAATAAACCATCTACGAATTACGTTTTTTGAAAATATCAAACCCTGTTCAAATTTAAGCTGTTGTAATGAAGATAAATCTGCTTTCAACAAACACCGATACATCTCTCCATCCATAATTCCTTCAGACACGTAATGCACCTGCGTAGCATTGAAAGAAAAACATCCCTAAGTATGGATTAGTGCTTTACTGTTTGGATGGTATTCTTCTATCAGAAGCGCATCCATTTTTTCTTCGTACATGACGAAAAGTTAGATTTTCCTTTCATCCGACAAAAGATTTTAGAGTTCTTTAAATGATCACAAACAAACTTTATTCGAAGATCTCAGTGTCTTCATTCAAAAAAACCTTTTGCTGGGTACAGTTTTTCAACATATGTACACTGAAAGTATAACTCTTTTAGTCACCAGTGTTTCAGTTGTTTATCATTTATTTTTGTTCTTCTTTCGAGTTACCATTGGATACATTTTGACTTTTCTTAGCATTTTCCAAAATAACCTGAATAATTTTTCCTTGGAGCGCCATGTCAACGAAGAGTTTGTTTTTTTTGTTTTTTTTTGTAAACTCCTTTACAGTAATCGATTCAATAATAGTAACATGGATATGTAATATGTGTGACTCAAACCTTGATTAAATTTCTTAATTGCATCGTTACTTTATTTGCACGTGAATTCGTTTAATTACAGTTTCACTGTAAGAAGGTGAATTACGACTGTGATGGAGAATCATAATCCAATCAAGTATTGATAAATGATTCAAACTATTTTTTTGCAGACGCAGAAAAACCTAGACCTGTATTCATTTTTAAATAGCATTGTTAAGACACATTTTTAATGATAACCGGTCAATATTTAACGTACGTAACTGAAAAAATATGTTTTTCTTCAAAAAGTCGTATTTTTTCTTGACACCACCATCATTGCATAATTCCAGACTCTTTTTATTGTTTTAAAAAGATATTTTTAGAATTTTAATAAAAGCCAATTATTATGAGACTGGATATATGCATTCTCATTTTTTTCTCAAGAATTGACAACAAAAGAATGAAACACTATTTTATTGGATTGTTTATTTACAAGAATAATTTTATATAAGTACAAGTTTATAACTACAGGGTGTTTCACAATTGTTGAAACAAAGTAGCGGCCTCTCAGATGGGAAGAGCTCGAAGAGTGTGAGGACCATGATGAGGAAAAACAGTGGTTCCACCAGGATAGTGCTCCTCCTCACATTGCTAATGTTACCTTGGCATGGCTCCGTGAAAAGTTTGGAGATCGTCTCATCAGCCGAAGTGAAGCTGAAGTAGAATGGACACCTCACTCACCTGACCCCCCACCACCAGATTTCTTCCTCTGGGGGTTCCTCAAGGGCAACATTTACCAGGCCAACCCTCATACCATTGCTGCATTAAAGGCAGCCATCACTGAGAAGATTCAAGCAATCACCCATGAGGAATGGACACGCTTTGTCAACAACTTTGCATTCAACAGTGCCTTTAACTGAATGGTGGATATCTGGAGCATGTACTCTGTAGAGCTCCTCTTGACATTTTTGGTTCATGTTTTAAACTAAATGGTTTCAAATCCAGAAATGTTATCCTTTTACCTTTCAATAAATGTAATTGCCATTACTGTATCATTTGTGGTCCTTGATTTGTGCCCGATCATTTTGTTTCAAAAATTGTTAAACACCCTGTGAAACAACTACAATGCAATATTCATTATTTACAAGAAATAACTATAAAAACAATATGTCTTATTCATCAATTTATAAAAATGTCTGTCTGTAAAAGAACAAGAAAATAAAATTAAACACATAACGGCGAGTAACTAACTATAAAATGTAAAAAAAAAAAATGTATTTTCCGATAACGACCAAACATCGTGTCGTCACTCTGCAGTTCTTGCAAAAAGTTCTAGACGCAAAATGCGAACTGCATTAATATTATATAACTTAAAGTTGGGATTCTAATTCAAAATTTAATAGAAAGATAAACGACAAATCAAAAACATTTTTCTATATATTTGGAATATATAATAGATATTTTAACAAGAGCTACATCTTAGGTACTTGAACATGGTCAAGAATTTAAATTAGTTTAGTACTGTTTACAAACAAATAATTTTTTTATTCAATTTGCATAATTTTTTACCAAACGGGATTCAATTGAAATATGCTGAAAAATTATTGATTTTTATGGGAAGAGCCAGTATTTATCTTGTTATAGTATGTAGCAAATTTATAAAGGTTTCTCACATTGACTAAAATCTTTTTTAACTATTTCACCCCAAGCAATGCGATACTGCCACTAAGACGCCAGTGTTTATTGAGGGTGAAAGAAAATGAAAAACTTTAGTGAGGAGAAAGGACAATAACAGAACAATTTTCAGAAAGCCGGAAGATGGCGACCGACGTTACATTTACATTTTTGAAGAATGTAGCTGACAGGAAAGCAAAATGAAAGAGATTTTCACAGGCAAGTGTGAGAGAAAAAATTATTAGATTAGAACATACGGTTACATCTGTGGTTAGTTCAACAATAAAATATTGAGACCTATTTGTCAATCTAATAGTACGATTAAAGAGGAGAGCTCATAAGAACAATTGGCAGTAAAATGTTTATAGAAAAATCTCAGGGAAGCCACCTCACGGCGGAGAAGTGACTACTTTTGAAATGTCAGGTCAGAGCATCACATACATTTTTTTTTTAGAATTCGTTGAATTGAAGTCCTTGAGATATTTCTTAACTTTTGACAATCTTCTGATAGACATTTGCAAGATATTCTCATGGTGTTCACATACATCGGTTACCATTTTGAAATGGCTGCTATAAAGTTGTTTGTGCATAGCCTCTGCGGGCAAGACATTTAACGCACAAAATATTTTCATCTGGAAAATAATTTTATTAAGCAAGAACATAATCTTCATTATCGAGATTAAATGTAATTCACGTAAAGCATTGGTTTTAACTTTAACTCATTAATACCAATTCTCCTATCTTTGGTATACTGGACATGAATAGGTTCGAAATTATAATTAATAGTGGATTTTTATTTTTAACATTAATACCGAATTTTAACTTGTTCTTTTAATACTTTAAATATACTATCTTGTTTCAGTACTAATTTAATAAGAAAAGTGAGGTAATTTAATAAGAAAAGTGAGGTAATTTAGATTGATTGTTTGTATTTTAATCGCAAAGAACTCATAGTAATTATATCCACTTTTTATTTAAACAATGTTTTTCAGGTGAAAATTGTGATCACGAAGTTTTCGGTGACATACAAATGCGTTATTTAATTTTAAGATAAGGGAATTGGAACTCGACTCTCTTAACACTTCCAACCACACATCCAAGTTTACAACATCTGGTATTCACAAGCGGTCACCCATCTAGGTACTGGCCAGACTGGACGTTGCTTAATTTCGGTGATCGCATGAGAACCAGTGTGACTAATTCACGTTCGGATTAGCAGACAAAGGTTATTCGTTTCTTTATTTTTCATTACAGAATGGATTTGATTCTAAAAATCGAAAAAGAAGCACGCTAATACACCATTGAGAGGAGGGGGAACATAAATGCACTGTTACTTAAAATATATTAAATAAAATAATTTAAATATTAATTGCATAAAAATCATTTAATCACTTTCGTTTATTAGACATTAAATTACGTCACTTAGCGTCTTCCATAATTTACTTAGATATTTCAGTCAATCTGAAGAATATTTATGAGCCTCTAACTAACAACAATTTTACTTTTGTTTATAAACACTTGTTGCAAAGTAAAAATCCTTACATTTGCCTTTATAAAAAAATCTATCAGAGGACGAAAGATATCGGCTACGATAACTTTTCGTTTTGTCGTTATCCACATGCACACACGCTATATATATATATATATATATATATATATATATATATATATATATATATATATATATATATATAGGCATATGGCGAAATTTTAAAATTATCATCCCGATGAAAAATCACTTACACGCAAAAAAAAAAATCTCATATCTGGTCATTTGGTAAGATTTTGGAGAGTGGATCGATTCAGAAGCTTTTTAGACCTTACCTCGGATATAGAAATATATAGTTATCAGTATTTCATTTAATAAACGATTTACCTATTTCTCTTGCTCTCGATTGCATCATGCTTTATTTTATTTAGTCATTTTGTTATTTTTTTAATTTCTGTTTTTAATTTATTTATTCGTTTTTTTTTAATTTAAAGAAAACATCCAAGAAAGAAATGTAATTCTATATTTATAAATATTCGTTTTTCACAACTTTTATCTCGAAGAGGCCTCTGAAAAAAACAAAAAACAAAAAAAACAGACAGGTCTTTAATAAATTATTGCTTCTTGAAAAAACAAACTTGGTGTGTGTGTGTACTTCCACTACTCTTCTCAATACCTTGCCACCCGCATAAGAACACATTCTTGAGGCAATGTTGGTAGAGCCGTGAATACTTAATATAAAGAAATCTCCCTTTTTTTTCAAGACAGAATTTTTCATTTGACGATGTGTTTGAAGTCTCATCTCTCGATAATGTTTTCTGTTTATTCTTTTTTTTTAACTCAAAAACTTTACAACTGTCTTTTATTCTTTTTTTTTTTAAATTACTTTTTCGTTATTATTTGAAAAAGTGTCTTGTCATGTGTCCAGGCGGCTGTACTCTTTCACATTTGACTTTACAAAGTGTTTTTACCACGTTTAATTTAAAAGGAAATTCAGCTAAAATCGTTTGAAAACGTTTTATATATATATATATATATATATATATATATATATATATATATATATATATATATTCTGAGATAAGGAATTATTAATTTCATAGATGAATCCATTTGAATCAGTGTTCTCATCTTGGCTGTTAAAATCAACATTTTTCATTTATTGTCTTCTCCGACTTCTTTTTTTCTTATCTTTGACGTCCTCATTCCGTTGTCTATTCATTACGTTCCATTACGTGTCAGTTAATTCGTCCTTGGGATAAGCCTTTTTTTTATTTTTGCCCATTGAATCAGAATGTATTTCATTGAGATTGAACTCACGAAAAAACAGTGTATCTCGGTTATTTCGCAGTAGAAAGCTAAAACTTGTCTGTTTATTCCGCATAAAAGAAATGCTGTTAATTTCTTTTAATTTGTTCCTTACGATGAGAAAACAATTCCGGATAATGAATGAATAGCCTTTTAAAGTTCGTTAATCTGAAAAAGAAATGTAAAAATAACATTCAATCCATTAAATATATTTTATAGTAACAAGTTTCTGGTCGCCTTGTCAGTTTACAAACAAAGCAACAAAGATAGAAGCATTAACTCGAATGATTTATATAAAATAAGTGATTGATGTTTGCGTTACAAGGAATTGATACAAGGGCTAACTGAACAAGTCACATGTTCAATAGGGGACATATTTTTTGGATTGTGCTGGCTAGGGAAGTCGTTGAACATCTTGCAGTGAATATTGGACAACATGGGTTGTAATCGCTTTACTCTTGTAGAAATGGTTCTAGAACACGTCTTAAACAATGTTCTGGACGCATATACCGCTATTCAGCGTTCACTTTACGAATAACAAAGGCGAATGAAACATGATACCAGCAGTTAGGCCTGCTGGCCTTGGGCGATCTCCACGTCTGTGTCGCACAGGATAAACGACAATCACTAACATCAAGAACCTGATCAACAGCTATAGGAACGTTCATTTGACCCCTGTTGCCAAGATCGAAGCACCGCCGACGCATCACGTCCAACATGTACATCAATTTTCTAAAATAACCATCCAACTTATAGATCTGATCCTTACCAAACGAATCTTCGGAGCATGACACTTGTTTGCACTGGAGTCTTTCATTACACTAAACCTTATGGCAGCACGCGTCACTGTCTAAATCTCAAATACAGATGCTGATATGAGTGTTACTTGACACAAGATGACAGAAGACTAAAAGTTTCATCACAATATCCTTTAGGGTGTCGCAATTTTATTTTCGTTCAGTGTAGCAAACATAACGGAGACATAGATTAGTGCGCCCAAATTTCACTTGACAATCTAAACGTGTCCTTGGTAAAAAACAATTTTAAAATCGATTTTTCACCATTTTTTAATGTTTTTGCTTCAGTATTATTAATTACGGAACTCCTCCAAGAAAAAAATGGACAGAAAACTGATTTTAAAAATGCCTCAAAGATGGAAACGGTATTTTCAATGGAATTAAAGAACATTTCTTCGCGTTTTGCATTCCAATTGAGAACAGTGACTGCAATGCTGCTGGATATCATTAATTTTTTAGCTAGTTGAATTGTGCGGAAGCGTTCTGATGGATTCAAGTTTATTGGCAAGATGATTGGTTGTCCTATTTTGAATCTGGGGTGGCGAATATCAGAGAGTATTCAAGGATATTAAAATTTCCAACGATAATTTCATGGCCTCATCTTCATCTAGATCTGTGTCACGGATTTGGCATTAGCTAAAGAGAAGAGGAACCAAAACATCTACTTTATATCTTAACATTGTTCAGAAACATATGATTAATTTAAAGAAGAAAGATCTCGGCATTATTTTGATGAGTTCAGTTTTAAAAAAAGCCCTGAATATGTGAGCTAAATTTATTATGTTTGCTATCAGTGAGATTCGAAATCACAATCAGCATCATTCGCATATCGAGTGAGATAAATTCAGATGTGTGATACTTTTATTTATTAACGAATGGAGTTATAATACTCGACACAGTGTGGCTTCCAGGTGTAATTTTTATATTTATTACTGCTATTAAAAATGGGAGAATGATAAAAAACTAAAAATGAAACTAAATTAAAAATAAAAAGAAATTTGAAAAAAATGACATTTCTTTTTTTCACTCCTAAAAGACTATAAAGCCAATAAGAGGTTAGAGATTAGAGTGTGAGAGAATACGAGAAAAAGAAAACATTATTAAGAAGAGAGAAGAATAAAAAGCAAGAATAAAGAAGACAGATGATAACGATTGATATTGCATTTAAATTTTAAAGATCAAAGTTGGGAAGCAAGAATCAGGAACACCTGATTGGTTCTCGTCCCACTCTCTTCAGGGCTGGACTGAAGAAATAAAATAAATGTGCATCGCAATTAAAGGAAAGAAATATTGTAAATGGGCATAGAATAAAGAATTAATAATATACACATATATGCATATATATTACAAATTACATTAAGACCTATCAGCCACTCCTTTTTTTTAGTAATGTTCACGCAATACTAGACCGAAGAACCACAAAAAGTAGAGGGTTACTGTGTGGTGTTGTATGAGCTTAAGAAAAGGCAAGAAGTGAAGTTCTTAGGTTTATACAAGGAAGATAACAGCTAACTTAAGATTTGAAGAAGTCAAAATTGAATTAGTGAATAACATTTCAGAGTTCAGTCGGAGACAATAAAAGTATAGTGTGGTAGTTGACGTCAGAAACCTAGCCGGGGACGTAATCCTAATCAGGAAAAAAGTGATAAACCTCTACTCCTGTTCAAAAGACAGGGAATGAGTAAGAACCTGTCTCCTCTTATTGGGGGAGAAGAAAAAATAAAATAAATAATTAGGGAATAAAATTTTACATTTCAAGCGGAGATGTTAAGAATATAGACTTGAAGTAAAATTTAGTAGGAAGTGGAAACTCAATCCTAAGCCGGAAACAAGACATAACTCTCTACTTCTGTTCACAAAACCAGAGAAGTGTGTGAACCGGATGATAGGCGAACCTATAAACTTTTATTGGTAGGTAAGGGATAAAAAAAATGAACAAATAATTAATTAGTGAATAAAAATAAAATAAAATTTCAAAGTTCAGGTGGAGACGTTAGAAGTATTGATTTGAACTCGAAAGCCTATTTACTCCTATTGGGAGAGAAAACAATAATAATAATAATAATAATAATAATAATAATAATAATAAGTGAATAAAATTTCGAAATTCAGGTTGAAAATATAGAAGTACAGAGTTGAAGTAGACCCTAGAAGGAACGGGAAACCCAATTCCACGCAGGAAAATGTAAATAAATTATAAATAAAAATAACGGCAATTAACTCCGAATATATGCTTTAGGGTAGATTTAGTTATAAAACTGACAGTATGTTATTATCTATTAAATTTTAACATAGTATTAGTTCAAATATTCTCTATCAAAATAAAATCCAGCAGAGAATTAATATTATTTGAACATTTTTTTGTGCGTAAAAAAAGACAATGTACATTAAATATGGCGACATATGCGTAGAATTAAGTCCCAAATTTGCTCAGACTGTTTAGACTAGAAAAAGATGATGACAAGCTAAAATATACATTTACCCATTAAAAAATGAATACACTTAAATAAATAAAATCACTTGATGAGGGAATAAACAAAATAAAATTATAACAATATGAGAAAACTTCTCTGTCCTCTCCGCCATTGATTCACGCTACTCAA